ACTACCAGTCTCCATGATGTGAGTGGCAGTTATAAACTACCAGTCTCCATGGTGTGAGTGGTAGTTATAAACTACCAGTCTCCATGATGTGAGTGGTAGTTATAAACTACCAGTCTCCATGATGTGAGTGGTAGTTATAAACTACCAGTCGTCATGATGTGAGTGGTAGTTATAAACTACCAGTCTCCATGATGTGAGTGGTAGTTATAAACTACCAGTCGTCATGATGTGAGTGGTAGTTATAAACTACCAGTCTCCATGGTGTGAGTGGTAGTTATAAACTACCAGTCTCCATGATGTGAGTGGTAGTTATAAACTACCAGTCTCCATGATGTGAGTGGTAGTTATAAACTACCAGTCGTCATGATGTGAGTGGTAGTTATAAACTACCAGTCTCCATGGTGTGAGTGGTAGTTATAAACTACCAGTCTCCATGATGTGAGTGGTAGTTATAAACTACCAGTCTCCATGATGTGAGTGGTAGTTATAAACTACCAGTCTCCATGATGTGAGTGGCAGTTATAAATTACAAGTCTCCATGATGTGAGTGGTAGTTAAATACTACCAGTCTCCATGATGTGAGTGGTAGTTAAATACTACAAGTCTCCATGATGTGAGTGGTAGTTAAATACTACCAGTCTCCATGATGTGAGTGGTAGTTATAAACTGCCAGTCTCCATGATGTGAGTGGTAGTTAAATACTAACAGTCTCCATGATGTGAGTGGTAGTTATAAATTACAAGTCTCCATGATGTGAGTGGTAGTTATAAACTGCCAGTCTCCATGATGTGAGTGGTAGTTAAAAACTACCAGTCTCCATGATGTGAGTGGTAGTTATAAATTACAAGTCTCCATGATGTGAATGGTAGTTATAAATTACAAGTCTCCATGGTGTGAGTGGTAGTTATAAACTACCAGTCTCCATGGTGTGAGTGGCAGTTATAAATTACCAGTCTCCATGATGTGAGTGGTAGTTATAAACTACCAGTCTCCATAGCGTGAGTGGTAGTTATAAACTACCAGTCTCCATGATGTGAGTGGTAGTTATAAACTACCAGTCTCCATGATGTGAGTGGTAGTTATAAACTACCAGTCTCCATGATGTGAGTGATAGTTATAAACTACCAGTCTCCATGGTGTGAGTGGTAGTTATAAACTACCAGTCTCCATGGTGTGAGTGGTAGTTATAAACTACCAGTCTCCATGATGTGAGTGGTAGTTATAAACTACCAGTCTCCATGATGTGAGTGGTAGTTATAAACTACCAGTCTCCATGGTGTGAGTGGTAGTTATAAACTACCAGTCTCCATGATGTGAGTGGTAGTTATAAACTACCAGTCTCCATGATGCGAGTGGTAGTTATAAACTACCAGTCTCCATGGTGTGAGTGGTAGTTATAAACTACCAGTCTCCATGGTGTGAGTGGTAGTTATAAACTGCCAGTCTCCATAGTGTGAGTGCTAGTTATAAACTACCAATCTCCATGATGTGAGTGGCAGTTATAAACTACCAGTCTCCATGATGTGAGTGGTAGTTATAAACTGCCAGTCTCCATAATGTGAGTGGTAGTTATAAACTACCAGTCTCCATGGTGTGAGTGGTAGTTATAAACTACCAGTCTCCATGGTGTGAGTGGTAGTTATAAACTGCCAGTCTCCATAGTGTGAGTGCTAATTATAAACTACCAGTCTCCATGGTGTGAGTGGTAGTTATAAACTACCAGCCTCCATGATGTGAGTGGTAGTTATAAACTACCAGTCTCCATGGTGTGAGTGGTAGTTATAAACTGTCAGTCTCCATGGTGTGAGTGGTAGTTATAAACTACCAGTCTCCATGGTGTGAGTGGTAGTTATAAACTACCAGTCTCCATGGTGTGAGTGGTAGTTATAAATTACCAGTCTCCATGGTGTGAGTGGTAGTTATAAACTGCCAGTCTCCATAGTGTGAGTGCTAATTATAAACTACCAGTCTCCATGGTGTGAGTGGTAGTTATAAACTACCAGCCTCCATGGTGTGAGTGGTAGTTATAAACTACCAGTCTCCATGGTGTGAGTGGTAGTTATAAACTGCCAGTCTCCATAGTGTGAGTGCTAGTTATAAACTACCAGTCTCCATGGTGTGAGTGGTAGTTATAAACTACCAGTCTCCATGGTGTGAGTGGTAGTTATAAACTACCAGCCTCCATGGTGTGAGTGGTAGTTATAAACTACCAGTCTCCATGGTGTGAGTGGTAGTTATAAACTACCAGTCTCCATGGTGTGAGTGGTAGTTATAAACTACCAGTCTCCATGATGTGAGTGGTAGTTATAAACTACCAGTCTCCATGATGTGAGTGGTAGTTATAAACTACCAGTCTCCATGGTGTGAGTGGTAGTTATAAACTACCTGTCTCCATGGTGTGAGTGGCAGTTATAAACTACCAGTCTGAATGGTGTGAGTGGTAGTTATAAACTACCAGTCTCCATGATGTGAGTGGTAGTTATAAACTACCAGTCTCCATGATGTGAGTGGTAGTTATAAACTACCAGTCTCCATGGTGTGAGTGGCAGTTATAAACTACCAGTATGAATGGTGTGAGTGGTAGTTATAAACTAACAGTCTCCATGGTGTGAGTGGTAGTTATAAACTGCCAGTCTCCATGATGTGAGTGGTAGTTAAAAACTACCAGTCTCCGTGATGTGAGTGGTAGTTATAAACTACCAGTCTCCATGGTGTGAGTGGTAGTTATAAACTACCAGTCTCCATGGTGTGAGTGGCAGTTATAAACTACCAGTCTCCATGGTGTGAGTGGCAGTTATAAACTACCAGTCTCCATGGTGTGAGTGGCAGTTATAAACTACCACTCTCCATGGTGTGAGTGGTAGTTATAAACTACCAGTCTCCATAGCGTGAGTGGTAGTTATGAACTACCAGTCCCCATGATGTGAGTGGTAGTTATAAACTACCAGTCTCCATGATGTGAGTGGTAGTTATAAACTACCAGTCTCCATGATGTGAGTGGCAGTTATAAACTACCAGTCTCCATGATGTGAGTGGTAGTTATAAACTACCAGTCTCCATGATGTGAGTGGTAGTTATAAACTACCAGTCTCCATGATGTGAGCGGTAGTTATAAACTACCAGTCTCCATGGTGTAAGTGGTAGTTATAAACTACCAGTCTCCATGATGTGAGTGGCAGTTATAAACTACCAGTCTCCATGATGTGAGTGGTAGTTATAAACTACCAGTCTCCATAGTGTAAGTGGTAGTTATAAACTACCAGTCTCCATGATGTGAGTGGTAGTTATAAACTACCAGTCTCCATGGTGTGAGTGGTAGTTATAAACTACCAGTCTCCATGATGTGAGTGGTAGTTATAAACTACCAGTCTCCATGATGTGAGTGGTAGTTATAAACTACCAGTCTCCATGATGTGAGTGGTAGTTATAAACTACCAGTCTCCATGATGTATGTTGTAGTTATAAACTACCAGTCTCCATGGTGTGAGTGGTAGTTATAAACTACCAGTCTCCATGGTGTGAGTGGTAGTTATAAACTACCAGTCTCCATGATGTGAGTGGTAGTTATAAACTACCAGTCTCCATGATGTGAGTGGTAGTTATAAACTACCAGTCTCCATGATGTATGTGGTAGTTATAAACTACCAGTCTCCATAGCGTGAGTGGTAGTTATAAACTACCAGTCTCCATGATGTGAGTGGTAGTTATAAACTACCAGTCTCCATGGTGTGAGTGGTAGTTATAAACTACCAGTCTCCATAGCGTGAGTGGTAGTTATAAACTACCAGTCTCCATGATGTGAGTGGTAGTTATAAACTACCAGTCTCCATGGTGTGAGTGGTAGTTATAAACTACCAGTCTCCATGATGTGAGTGGTAGTTATAAACTACCAGTCTCCATGATGTGAGTGGCAGTTATAAACTACCAGTATGAATGGTGTGAGTGGCAGTTATAAACTACCAGTCTCCATGGTGTGAGTGGTAGTTATAAACTAACAGTCTCCATGATGTGAGTGGCAGTTATAAACTACCAGTATGAATGGTGTGAGTGGTAGTTATAAACTAACAGTCTCCATGGTGTGAGTGGTAGTTATAAACTGCCAGTCTCCATGGTGTGAGTGGCAGTTATAAACTTCCAGTCTCCATGGTGTGAGTGGTAGTTATAAACTACCAGTCTCCATAGCGTGAGTGGTAGTTATAAACTACCAGTCTCCATGATGTGAGTGGTAGTTATAAACTGCCAGTCTCCATGGTGTGAGTGGCAGTTATAAACTACCAGTCTCCATGGTGTGAGTGGTAGTTATAAACTACCAGTCTCCATAGCGTGAGTGGTAGTTATAAACTACCAGTCTCCATGATGTGAGTGGTAGTTATAAACTACCAGTCTCCATGATGTGAGTGGCAGTTATAAACTACCAGTCTCCATGGTGTGAGTGGTAGTTATAAACTACCAGTCTCCATGATGTGAGTGGTAGTTATAAACTACCAGTCTCCATGATGTGAGTGGCAGTTATAAACTACCAGTATTAATGGTGTGAGTGGTAGTTATAAACTACCAGTCTCCATGGTGTGAGTGGCAGTTATAAACTACCACTCACAAGATATAATATAAACTACCACTCACAAGATATAATATAAACTACCACTCACAAGATGTAATATAAACTACCACTCACAGATTGTTATATAAATTACCTCTTAAAGAATGTATATAGCGTGAACCAGATGCAGTTGAGTCGATACAAAAAAAAAAAATACATTAAATATTTTAAACTAGACTATCTCTTTTTAATGATCGCGTTAAGCTTGTTTTGTTTATTTCTGCTTAACTTAATGTATTATTTTCAATTCATTACATTATTTAATGTACTTAAAAGGGTTCAATGTAATTTTGTCTATTTTGTATTCATTCATTTATTATTTGCCGGTACTTCCGGCCCGGGTCTTCTCCAGATGGCGACCCGGCGTCTATTTTGTAATAATGTATTTGGTGAATTACAGGTCCTGAGGATGAGGCATCAGCGTCAGCAGTGGGAGGTGCCACACAGTCTCTGGGGTCACCTGTCATGGCATACAGTGCCCGACCCTCACCTGCCTCACATACCTATGACTTCCTCACTCCAGCACCGTACCGCTCTGTTCAGGTACATATACCTGTATATAAGCCCAGTAAGTCAGCGGTAGTGTGCTTGGCCAGGGATGGCCAACCTTGACACATCTGCCAAAAGTGGCGCATTGCGTGATTAAAAGTGACACATTGAGCCTAGTGATAGACCTACTCATACAAAAGACATTAACCAATAACCGATTTGTAGATAAAATTATAACAGAAATTTCATTAACTTACAGCAGAATAAATCTAAGACTTAGCAATCATTTTTAATGATATTATTATTTCATGTACATCTTTTAGCGAATAGCATTTTCCTTCATATTAATCTGTTATCAGTAAGACTAGGTACAAGTTGCAGTTAACACACCCACACTGCATTTACACGTTGCTATATATTCACCATACATAATGCTCTGCCCTTATCAGGGACACTGCATAAAGAGGGACTTTCGTGCAAGAGTTGCCCCATAAGTGTGCACGTTTGATACTTCGATCTTGATGCGCCAGGCACCAGCAGCGGCTTCATCACAGTTTACAACTGACACTCATGCAGTAGAGTTGTGCTTCGTTCTTCGTGAAGAATTAAACTTTTGCACTTTTCGAACTTAAGTTTTGTTTTTACAGTCACCCATCACAGTGCAAAAGAAAAGCAGGAAGTGACAGTAAGCGTCAGTTTAATGAACGGTGGGAAAATGAGTTCTTATTTACTGATGGTCCGTCAGGAAAACCATTGTACATTGTTTGTGAAAATATTCACTCAGATTATAGAAGACATGATCTTAATAGACACTATAAGAAAACATCAGGCTAAAATAGAAGAAAAACTGAAGTCAGTGCTTGGGTCTGAGTTACGGAAAGAATGTGTGGCTAAAAAAAAGACTACAATAAAAAAATACAGAATATATTTGTTAAAAGAAGTTGTGAAAGTTTGGCGATGATGGAAGTGTCCAGCGAAATTGTCTTCTTGTTGGCTAAAACCGGAAGCTTTTCTCAGATGGAGAAGAAATTGTTAAGGTTTGTCTCCAGATATTTGCAAGATGTCTTGGTGATAAAAATATTGAAAGAAAAGTAGACGAAATTGCTGTGTCAAAGCAAACAGCTACAAGAACTTTCCCAAGATTATCTGAGCAACACGAAGACCTTGACCATGTTTCTACTTTCTTATCTATAGTTCCGAAAGAATCTGCTGAAATATGTGATGTAGCCCAGTTAAACATTTTTATAAGAGGAATTGATGATAATTTTAACATCTTTAAAGAACTTATCGGTCTTGAGTCACTTCATGGAAACACAAGAGGATCAGACATATTTGACAAAGTATAATCATGCCTAGAAAATCTGAAACTAGATTCTAGTAAACTCATCATTGTTTGTACTGACGGATCACCGTCGGTGATGGTAAAGCAGCTGGGACTGTAACTTTGCTGGAAACCTTCTTAGGTCTTCATTTACTAAAATATCACAGCATTATATACTAAGAGTCACTGTGTGGAAAACCTTAAATTTGCAGCATGTTATGCTACCGGTTGTGAAATGCGTGAATAAAATTAGAGCAAGAGACTTAAACAGAAGAGAATTCAGAGAATATCGTGAATTGTTAGATTTGGATTATAGTGATCTCATCCTTCATTGTGAGGTGCGACTCTGGCTTCTCAGTAGATTTTGGAAACTGAAAAATAGTGTTCATAATTTTCTAGAAGAATGAACTGCCTGAGGAAAGAGCCTTTTATGTGATAATAAATGGTCTGATTTAACATTTTTAGTTGATGTTAGCAGCCATTTCAATGATCTAAATTTAAAACTGCAGTGCAAGAACAAATTGTTTCCTAGCTTAGTAAATGATATCAGTACATTCAAGATGAAGTTAAAACTGTTTACCTCTCATTTACAAAATGAGAATATGAGTCAGTTTCCAGACTCCTGTCTCTTACGGATGGAACAATACCAAAATTTTTTTAATACCGGCCCTGTGGCCTGGCTGGCAAAGCTCTCGCTTCACACGCTATGTGTCTGGGTTCGATTCTCGGCAGGGATGAAAACATTGGACGCGTTGTTTTTCTTATGTCTGTTTCCTGTTCACCTAGCAAGTAGGTACCTGGGTGTTTATATATATATAATATATATATATATATATATATATATATATATATATATATATATATATATATATATATATATATATATATATATAGTGTGTATGTGTGTGTGTGTGTGTGTGTGTGGTGCCGAATAGGTAAAATTGGTCAATTAGCAAGAACTCATTTGGAATTAAGTTCTTTCTAAAAATTTCTCTTATGCGTTTAAAGATATATATTTTTTATTTGTGTTAATGTAATAATTAATAATTTTGCACCAAAAGAACCTTAGAAAGCTTACCTAACCTTATTATAAAAAGCTCAGTTTAATTTAGCCTAATCCAACTAAATATATTTTAGATAACTTTACAATAATTTAATAATAAACAAACACAATGAAATATATTTTTTTTCGTTAGGTTCAGAATGATTTTTGCGAAATTATTACATACACAAATTTTTGCTTGCCTTATTCGGCAAGAAGAACGTTGCTATTTAAAACGAAATCGCAAATTTTGCCTGTTAGGTGAAATCATCTCAGCCAATCAACAAGTGATAGATATAGTGAGACCAAAACTACCAAGAGCATCAGTCATTGCCCCTACAAATAGCGTCTTGCTTGGAGCACCTCTGGGAAGCGATGCCATTGACACAATTCTCAGGAAGAAACTGGAAGATTTGAGTAGAATGGAACAACGAATAAGCAATCGTGGGTGCCAAGATTGCCTATTCGTTGTCCCTTGTACCTTCTCACAAAGTGCTTGAGTCTGCCCAGGTTGACATATTTCCTAAGATGTGCACCTTCATATGATAACCCTATACTGCATGAATATGACAGTATCCTGAGGCAGATTTTTACGAAAGTACTTAACCTTACTCTAGAAGACGGGCAGTGGAACCAAGCTACACTTCCAGTCAGACTAGGAGGCATTGGTGTCCGCAAGTCATCAAAGATTGCGCTATCTGCTTTCCTGTCCTCATGCGTTGCATCCAGTGAACTTCTAGCAGAGATTCTCCCTGAACATTTTAGGGACAAGGTTGAGGTTCAGGACCAAAAGTTCGTTGACGGAGCCATGATCTGGGATAATCTAACGGGCTCTGAAACCAGACCTGCTATCCCCCAACAACTGCAGTCACAGTCACACTGGGATAGCACAGTAGTGCTGAATATAGCCTCATCAATGCTTCAGAGTGTGTCTGGGAAAGTTAGAGCCCGCCTACTGGAAGTGAGAATGCCTCATGCAGGGGACTTTCTGTTGGTTGTTCCCAACTCCAGTCTTGGCACACGCCTCGACCCACAGACCATCCGCATCGGTGATGCCCTTCGACTTGCCGCCCCTATTCTCGCCGAACACAGGTGTATTTGCGACAGCAAAGCAGCAGGCCGATTCGGGTACCATGGTCTTGTGTGCTTTAAATCCGAGGGAAAGATTGCAAGGCATGAAGAGGTTAATAACATTATCAAGAGGAACCTCACAACAGTCGGATGCCCACCAATAAGGGAGCCACCCCAACTATGAAGAGCTGCAGTCAAAAGCGTCCAGATAGAATCACCCTTCAAGCATGGACAGACGGCAAGCAGGTGGTGTGGGACTACACTTGTGCATCTACCTTGGCTGATACCTATCTCCAATACACCAGGGAGGAAGGAGGGGCAGCTGCCAGCTTCAGGGAACTTGCCCGTCATTATAAGTTTGCTCCCATACGATCGGAGACCCTTGGCTCATGGGGAAAGAGTGCATCTAAGTTCCCTGAGGAGCTAGGCAAAAGACTCATTAGGGTAACTAGGGATCCCAGGGCGCTGCTGTTCAGAGAGGTAATGCCTGCTGTATCTTGGGCACTGCCCCAGGTATGAGGAGTTGGATGAGATTTTTGCATTTAATCAGTGACTTACACGTAACAATATGTACTAGACATGTATCTCATTTACACCTCATGTACTGTATATACCATCTTTATATCAACAATGTATCTGTGAAATCTTTTGTACCATATTATGTAATAAAATATACCTATTGGTAAAAAAGAATGAAAAGATGGGGTGGTAGGGGAAGTAGAATATTCCAATGGCTTCAGGAAGAAATCCAAATACTCTTCCTTGAAGCCTTTTTATCCACTTCTCCGAGGCTATCGGTCCCACAAATATATATATATATATATATATATATATATATATATATATATATATATATATATATATATATATATATATATATATATATATAGATAGATAAATAGATAGACATACATACATACATACATGCATACATACATACATACATACATACATACATACATACATGCATACATACATACATACATACATACATACATACATACATACATACATATATTTCACAACCGGTATTAAATAACACAGGATGGTTATTAACTGAATTTCTTTGAGGTTATAATGTCAATACCTATTGTTTGGCTTGTTGTGTCAGGTACTGGTTAGTTAATGTGTGTGCATGTGTGTGTGTGTGTGTTTGTGTACTCTCATTTGTGTATGTGTGAGTGTGTTTGTGTGTATGCATATGTATGTGTGTGTGCGTGGGTGTGGGCAACTCACAATCGTGAGGTAGAGAGGGCTATTGTTGATATTTTTAAGCACACATGTAATATTAATATTATAAATAGTATCGGATAGTATCGGTAGTTTTTTCCGATATCGTTACCATAAAAATGACCGATACTCGGCGATACCGATACTTTGGCACATCCTTATAGTAAGCTACAACCATTCCTTGGTGACCTTAATTAAACATCTGCTGCTATACAAGCCATACAGGATTAATTATTATTATTTTTAATTACAGTGATAACATTAATAATAATAATAATAATAATAATAATATAATAATAATAATAATAATAATAATAATAACGGCAAAAACAAACAGCAACAACAGTAACAACAACAACAACAACAACAACAACAACAACAACAACAACAACAACAACAACAACAACAACAATAATAATAATAATAATAATAGTAATAATAATAAACAATAATGCTTCGTTTGTCAGGTTTAACGTTGAATGGGAATCTAACTCGCTACTTGTTTCCTTAGAAATGACAGCCTTTTCTTTTCCTGTCTGCCTTTAGACTGTGCACAGTGGCATATGCATCCATTTCTTTGCTTTCCATGCTTTTTGTTTGTTCTTTTTCATTGCGCCCTTCTTATCTATGACTCTAAGTTTCTCATCTCTAAATTATCCAATCTTCTCAGTTCATTCTCTTCCCTTGCCTGTTCTCCCATTGTCATAGACTCCACCTGCTCCTACGCTAAACGAACCTTCTCCTCTAAATCCAGTTATCCTGTTAAAACTTCAGTAATTTACCTTCCGTGTATTCTAATATGGAAAATCTTAATAACAGCCTCCTACCTCAGGATATCAAACTTGTATTTCGTCAAACAAATAAACTTCATAAAAAATTTGACTCATATTTTTTCGCCTACCGCCACTGCTTACGATGTCTACCTTGCTCCTCTTATTCTCTCCGTTACATTGGTGAAACTGGTCTCCCTCACTAGAGAAGTGTTCGCCTTGCTAACACTGACATGTTAGACATCATGGTCATTTTATCTGGACCTCTTTCAGAACTATCTATCTATCATTTTCAAAGCCTTCCTAGACGTTATACACAACAATCCTGTCGATGCCTGTCTCTCTCATTACACTGTCAAATGCTCTAAACTTCAGAACACTCGTGACCTTGACCTGTCGTCTAAAATGTTCTTTCCTGTCTTCTGACTTTCACTTAGTAATATCCATTGTAGTAATAGGTTAGGCTTAAGCTTGCCCGAAATGTTTTACATAACTATGTGCTTTCTGCATGCATAACTAATTGCTTTCGAAATGTTGTCTAAAGTTTCTTTTTCCAAATTACGACTAAAGTTAAAAAAGCTTGACCATAATTTAGTAATCTATCTTGCAGGCGGCCGTGCAGGTACTAAGCAGCGCAGGTGTTGACGCTATCAGCATCGTGCACACTGCCGACACCGAAGGGCATGTGCTAGTTGAGCACATCATCTCAGCGGCAGAGTATGCTTATATATGTGTAGAGATGGTGCTGGAGGATGGCAACACTGTGGGGCTCACTGAGGTGCTACGCGAGGGCCCTGGCACGCTGGTCATCCTAGGCAGCAGACACAGAGTACAAAGTCTGACCAGGGCCCTCGGGGGACCGCAAGGCCCTGTCGACCTCCTGCTGTTAATAGACAGCGGCGGTCCCGTGCCACAGGTGGAGCTGGCTGGCTTGGAGACGCCTGCAATTCTTCTGCAACGAACTGTTCACCGTCTCCCAGAGTTTGCTTCTTTTTTGGAAAGGGACTTGGAGTCTGATGACGGGCCACGGCGACAATACATGGCCACCCTTTCTAAGTGTGGAGAAGTGAGAATGGGCTACGACGCCGCCGCAAACTCCGCCATCGCCGCGGTATTAGTGTATGCAGAGGCGCTGAGAGAAGCGCAGGCTACACACTGCAGCACTGAGGAAAGTTTATGTCGCAGTGTTACAGCTTTAGAAACTTCAGAGTGGAATGATCTACTGGCTTCAGCATCTCTGCAGGAGCCAGCTACAGCAGCTTTTCCCGGTCTTCTGGATGACAGTCTTGAACCCGGTAGTGAGGACGTTCCCCGATACACCGTCAATCTGCTGATCAATGGCAGCATCACTAAGGTCGGTAAACAAATATCTGTCAAATCAGGAATCTCAGTCAGGTCATTAAGGCCACCTTACTAACGTCAGTGCTCAGTCTCCATACGTAATCACTTAACTTCATGTTTCAGTGTGTATTTTTGTTCACCTTACTATTTTTCTAATAAAATTCTCTGCCTAGTGCACATGTCATGCTGATAAATGGGAACCTTTAACTCATCAGAAACATGAAAAAATCAAGATAACACTTCAGAACTGACTTCTGACAAACACTTCAAAACTGACTCAAGACAAACACTTCAGAACTGACTCAACAGATTTGCTTTATTTTGAAACTAATTACAGTAAACAAATAATAAAAAATATTTCTTAAGTTTGTAGCAACAATAAAATATATTCCTCTACTCTCTCTCTCTCACACACACACACACACACACACACACACACACACACACACACACACACACACACACACACAGTGGGTGCAGACGTGGGTGCACAAGGTTCCGAGAACCTTAGTGTTTTTAAGGCGTGCAGTAACTGCTAGCAGTAATCAGTGGTAGTGACAACGTCAGTGAACAATCCTACGAGTGATAACTAAAGTTATTAGTTAAAAAAAAGTCGAGAGGAAGCCTGAAATCATTAATATTTCAAAGTGCCAAACCGTTAGGGGCAGTAGGCACCTGTTGCCACACAAATTCAAATATACAAAGATCAAAGTGAGTGTGGAAGCGGGTGTTCAAGAATTACCAGTGTTTGGATAACAAGTGAAATGTGGGGCACCACACAGTGAGAGTGAAAAAGTTAATAAGCAAAAGGAGAAAGAAAAAATAAAACATATAAAATAGGGAAAGTGGCAGAGTAGGCCTGCTGAAGCAGTGACGTCACAAGTGGCGTGCCATTATTCATATAAAGTGAAGTGTATATAATGTGAAGTGTATACTATCATAAGTGAAAAGTGAAATCGCATGAGGAATGCAGGATGTATGAGCATATATGGTTATAAACATCACGGGTGAAGGATCTCCAAAATAGTGATAGAAGGCCTATGTACGACGACTACGTCATCAACATCTGGCAACTTGTCACTGCACAGCTGCCAGCGCAAGTATTACTCATCTATTGTGGTTGCATGTTGGCTCTGGATTCTGGTCTTGCATCACTGTTAGATACTGATCACTCACTCCTGCAAGCTATTACCAGAATTAGAGTAGAAATAGCATAGATAAAGTGAAGATAGTGTTGAGGAGAGTGTGAGGACAGCAGACTAGCGAGGGGTAACGTAGTATTACTACCTGTAGTTATTAGCAGTATGAATACTTAGGAAGCTAGGAAGTCCTCTCTCAATGTGAGCAAGGAATAGGATAATAACCAGCAGTAATTGATACTTAAATCCAGAAAGGGCAATAAGTGGAGAGAGTAGCAATACTAGGAAAGACAGCTGGGACTTAAAATGAGCCTACACAACAGAGAGGCATAACGGATCTTTCAACCACACAACCCCTCCCCAACCCCCCCCTAACCATCTCTCCCTCACACACATACACACACACAAGGGTAGACACTCATAGAAGCTTTAGATCCTAGTAGCAATTTCTGCTTTTTATAACTCAGAATTACTGGTATGTATTAGCAGTATCTCCCCCTCAGACCTCCTCCATACACACGAACACACACATATACACACATACACACACACACCTGCACTAGGCGAATACACACACACACACACCTGCACTAGGCAAATACACACACACACACACACACACCTGCACTAGGCGAATACACACACACACACACACACACACACACACACACACACACACACACACACTGAGGGACGCGCGATGCAATGAGCATATACGGTTATAAAGATCACAGGTGAAGAATTTTCAAAATAGTGATAGAAGGCTACGTCATCAGCATCTGGCAACTTGTCATCGCATCACCCCAGCTAAAGTACACTCACCTGATGGGGTTGTTTTTGGGGTCATGAATTCTGCTTGATACTGTTTACTGGTAGTTGCATATCTCTCACTCCTGCAACAATTACCAATAAACAAGCATAGAATACAAACACAGACACGATAGGGCTTACTACACGAGCAGCCCTACACAATGCCTAGGCGAATGACCAACACCCAAACTCAACAACACAATTACAACCTAATTAGCTTATCGGTTTAATAAGTAGAAAGTGATAAGTGCTGAAGCACCCAACTTGTTCGATACTTGCAGAAAAGTTATCACTACTGTTGGTTTTTTTTGGGGGTTTGAATCCCCTTAGAATGTTGGGGGAACAGGTCACTCACTCGAAGCATACCAGCAATTAGACACACAATACATAGATACAGGAAGATAGACACAACACAGCGAGGAACCACAGGACGCAGACACTCTAGAAGCTCACGACAAGCACATTACACACTACATTACTCTTTAAGTAACAGTATAATGCTAGAATCACTGTTGGTAGTTTAGACAATAGGGATTACTAAATATTTATTAGCAGTATTTGAATATTAGAAGTGGGCACACATACACACGTGCACACACACACACACACTACACACCACACACACCATCACCACACACACATCACACACACACACCAAAACACACTACACACACGTACACACACACACACACATACACACACACACACATCACACACACACTTAAGCTGAACACTAAATTTTCAACAGCTACCTTTAATTTAAAGTAGACGTAATGTTACAATATTGTACTTAGAATTACAGTTCTACCTATATTAGCAGACAATACTTAAGGCACACACACTACCACACACACACACACAACACAACACACACACACACACCAACACACATACACACACACATACACACACAGACACACACTACACAACACATCAAACACACATACAAATTTCACACACCATCCACTTAACTACACATAACCTCTCTACCCCCGCCACTTTTACACTGTAGACCTATTCACATCCTCACTCTACATATTTACACCTCTCTCTAACTACACTCTAACCTATTCTTCTCTTTTCCCTCCCCTCTTTCTCTACATCTCTTACTACACCTCCCCCCTCTATACTCTCTCCCCCTCTACTCTTCCTCCTACCATTTCTCTCCCCTCTCCCTTTCCCAACTCTTTTCCATCCTCACCTCCCTCCCCCCCTACCTCTCTCCCCTCTACCTCTTCCACTACCCCTCTTCCCCCTTCTCCCCCTCTTTCCTTCCCTTTCTCCCCTCCCTCCCCTCTCTCTCTCCTCTCTCCTCTCCTCTCCTCCCTCTCCTCTCTCTCCCCTCTCTCCCTCTCCTCCTCTCTCTCTCTCTCTCTCTCTCTCTCTCTCCTCCTCCTCTCTCTCTCTCTCTTCTCTCTCTCTCTCTTCTCTTCTCTCTCTCTCTCTTCTCTCTCTCTCTCTCTGCTCTCTCTCTTGCTCTCTCTCTCTCTCTTGCTCTCTCTCTCTCTTGCTCTCTCTCTCTCTCTTCTCTCTCTCTCTCTCTTGCTCTCTCTCTTGCTCTCTCTCTCTTGCTCTCTCTCTCTCTTTGCTCTCTCTCTCTCTTGCTCTCTCTCTCTCTTGCTCTCTCTCTCTCTTGCTCTCTCTCTCTCTCTTGCTCTCTCTCTCTCTTGCTCTCTCTCTCTCTTTCACTCTCTCTTCTGCTCTCTCTCTCTTGCTCTCTCTCTCTCTTGCTCTCTCTCCTCTCTTCTTGCTCTCTCTCTCTCTCTCTTGCTCTCTCTCTCTCTTGCTCTCTCTCTCTCTTGCTCTCTCTCTCTCTTGCTCTCTCTCTCCCCTCTTGCTCTCTCTCTCTCTCTTGCTCTCTCTCTCTTGCTCTCTCTCTCTCTTGCTCTCTCTCTCTCTTGCTCTCTCTCTCTCTTGCTCTCTCTCTCTCTTGCTCTCTCTCTCTCTTGCTCTCTCTCTTGCTCTCTCTCTCTCTTGCTCTCTCTCTCTCTTGCTCTCTCTCTCTCTTGCTCTCTCTCTCTCTTGCTCTCTCTCTCTCTTGCTCTCTCTCTCTCTTGCTCTCTCTCTCTCTTGCTCTCTCTCTCTCTTGCTCTCTCTCATCCCCATTTTCCCTTTTAACTCTCCCCTCTCCTACTCTTCCCTTCACTCTCTCTCCCCCTCTACCTTTCCCTTCTCTCTTCTCTCACAAAAAAAAAAAAAAAAAAAAAAAAAAAAAAAAAATGGTGGGGACTCGCAGGAACCAAGGATCAGATGAGAATGGTTCGGGTAGGGAGGAGTGGATGGAGGAGCAGTGGAAAAGGATGGAACAAGAGTGGGAGAGAAAATTAGGAGAGCTTTCTGAAAAAATGGAGAAAGAGCTCTCTGTGAAATTGGAAAGGAGGTTGGAGAAGGAGACAAAGAATTGGGAGGCACAAGTCGAAACTGCAGTAGCCAAGATAAGGGTCCTAGAAGTTGAGATAAATAGGCTGAAGCGAGTTACAGGGGCAGTGACCAGAGAAGACACAGCATATGAAGCTGCGAGGCCGAACAGGAAGGAAGGAATTATGAATTATGCTAAGGTCACATCAATCTGCCAAGGAGGACCAAGGAGTGAAAGGGAAGATCAGCTGGTTGCAGATGGAGAGGGTGATAGGTCGAATGCTGAGGCACAACAAGGCTATCAAGAGCCACTGGAAAAATCAAGGGAGAAACTGACCACATACAGGCTTGATCCAGAGTCACAGAGGGTGAGGCAATGGGAGGAAGAAAGGGCAAAATCAGTGTTTATCCATGGGCTTCAGGAGAGAGAGGAAAGGACACACACTGAAAGGAAGCAGGAAGAAAGAAAGGAGATTGAGAAAATCATCACGGAAATAGGTGAAGAGATGGACGAGATTGTAAATTTTCAGAGAATAGGGGGGTACTCGAAGGGGAGAAACCGACCAATCAAGCTGATTCTCAGGACGGAAACAGAGCGGAACAGGATCCTCCAAGAGAAACCACGATTGAAATACTCGGAAGAGTACAAGAGGGTGTTCCTAGACAGAGACAGAACAAAATCAGAACGACAGCAGCTGAGGGAGAG